ATCTCCGTACACAGACCCCACAGGAGAACAGGACCATGCACAGCCATGCACAGTGCCCAGGAAGGGCTCAAACACTTCCTCTGCCCTCCTGCAGGAAGTCCTCTGCTCCTGTCACCACCACTAATGGCTAAGGTGAGCCACGAGAGCTCTGGATCCTTGCAGCTGAGTCGGAAGGAGCCAGGCACTGTCACCGACTTCCAAGATGAGCCCGTCAGGTGACCGACCGGCAGTGCTGGAGGTGCTAGAGGTGCAGGTCCTGCTCAAAGCTTCTTGGTGTAGCCTAGCTCCCCAGAGAGGGTTTTCTGAAAGCAGGGGACAAAGCTCCTGACCTGCCCACCAGCACTGACTCAACCAGCGCCCTGGACCACCCTGGTCCACCTCGACACGGTCACCAGCAGCTGTTGGGAACTCAGATCATGATGAACCGGTGCCACGTGGCTGGAAGGTGGAGGCAGACCTCTCTGGACTCCTGCCTCCAGTCCCGCTTGTCCTCTTCTCGCTCTCAGGCACAGCAGGCCTCTCAGGACCCCAGGTCCATCTCCCTCTGGACACACCTCTAGTGGCTACAGAAACCCCAGTGAAGTTGTGGCCTGAAGTGCCCCTCTGGGAGGATCCCAGGCCTGGCTGGCCCTGACCGATTCCCCTACTGCTTCTCCAGCCAGGGCCGATCACAGAAAAGGCAGGCCCTGGTCAGGCCCACGCTGCCCGAAGGCTGGACAACAAGTAAAATTTTGCTTCATCCCAGTATCTTAACTCATCAACTCTCTAGTAACCAAAGAAGCCAGCAGGGTTCCTCCTGGGACCTCAAGCGCTGGGACTAAGGATCTTTCCAAGGCCCAGCAGAATGCTGGGCTTGAAGTACTACTTGCCTATACCCACCTCTGAGCCAAGAGAAGGTGTTTGAAATGCGATTGAAGACTCACGCACAGCAAGGAAAATCCCGTCAACTAAGTCCCTCACCATAACTTGAGAACTTTCTGTACCCAGGCATAAATATGCAGTATATCTCAGCACATTGTTTGATTCTCCTGAGAATAAGTTTCCAAAAATAAAAGTGAAGGAAACTTGGGGGCCTTTCAATTGCTTTTGGGTTTTAAAGTGAGACCAATGATGTCATGGAGACAGCAATTTTGGCCATTGACGTGGGGGGCAGACACCTGTGAGGTCGGGCTGCAGAGGAGTTTCACGCAGGGAGTGACAGCCGAGTGGAAGCCAGTTGCTGAATTTCAACGGGTTTCAGTGAATTGCTTGCCCTGCAAGTGCTGTGACCCTGAGGTCCCTGCTGCAGCTGCCAGAAGCCACCTTCCCAATGGAACAGCAGATGGTTTGGAACAATACACAATACAGCAATTTTCAGCTATTCCAGAGTATTTTCCCTCTTGCTAAAATTATAAACATAATTGAGAAAATGGTTTTCAGACTCTTTTGAAAGACAGTCCTACTTTTGAAGTGAAAGGCAGAGTTTGGTATGCTGGGGGCTCACTTTTTTTTTTTTTTTTAACATTGTCTTTATAAATTCCTCCACTTGCTGGTTCTTATTTATCTGGACCCGGCGGCAGAGTGACTTGGCCTCCCTAGTTCTGCTAACCAGTCGCCTGGGACCAGCACCCTGCTGTGTCCTCCCCAGGGGCAGTCCCAGCCCAGGGCCCACACTGGAGGAGGAGTAGGCAAGCAGCCCAGCCAGCTGGGCACTGCCAATGGGCAGTGACCTCCAGACCACATGCCTTGCAAGCAGGGGAAAACTGCCCACTAAGTCCAGTGCTGACAGGGCACCCACAATACAGGGCCAGTGCCACCCAGAGCCAGGCCCAAGATGCCTTCCTTCCAGAGAACTCAGCTGAGCCTCTGGCACTGCTCCTGGCCACTGGCTCCCACTCACAGAGTGCCCAACGCCTGCACGTGCCACCTGCCTCCTGCCTGCCAACGCGGGGTGCCGTGCCAGTGGGCTGCAGTCCCCGCTCTCCCTCATGCAGTGTGGCCTGGCGCCAGTCTCCTGCTCCCCCGGCTCCAGGGGCCCTCACAGCCCAGCTATGCATGACCAAGAGAAGCCGGGCAGAAGGCCCAGCCCGTGTGAGGCTGCTCACTGGCCATTCCTAGGCGCTCGCCACTCCTCGCTGTCCTGTGCATGGACTTAACATCAGGGGCTGAGTGGGCAGACTTCCAGGTCCCCACCAAGGCCATGCCGAGTCGGGCAGCGCGCAGGGCGTGCTCCGAGGGTGTCCGCGCTGGGCTCAGCGCACTGGCCTGTGTGGACCAGTTTCCCACACAGCAGGCCCAGCCGCGGGGTCAGAAGCGGAAGCCACACGGCAGACTGTGAAAGCCTCGTGTCACTGAGCCTGTCAGGTGAAGGCCCCACCACAAGACGGGGCTTGGCCTTGGCCTAAACAAGATGGAAGACTGAAGCCACGGTGGAAGCCCAGAGTCACCAGGTGCCACCCAGCCAGCTGGCTGCGCTGAGGTCGGTGACTCTGCTGGGAAGGTCCGACGTGTGCTCAGTCGGCTCAGCTCAGGGTCAGAGTCCAGGACCTGCGCGGGCAGGTGTCCCGGGAGGAGCACGTGGGTCCCAGGGTGCGCCGCAGTCAGGGCTGGGGAAAGGAGGGCTTACCGCCAGGGCCTGCAGCTCCCTGGTCTCCTCCTCGGCCGCCGAGGCATGATAGGACAGGACCTGCAGGGAGGAGGGGCGGCGTCAGGCAGGCGCGCAGGACAACTGTCAGCTGGGGACCCGCTGGACCTCCTCGGGAGGTGACCTGGCCCTGGGAGCACCAGACCCCAGCGGCTGCCCTCTGCACAGAGGGAAACCACAGCTGGGGTTCTGAGGCCCCTCGGGAAACAGGAATGAGCTGGGCAAACACTGACTTCAGCTATTCTTGCTTCTGTACAGAAGTTAAGGGAAAAAGACTGCGTCAGCTGACATTCTGAAGTTGAATTTGGAAGAGCAGAATCCACAGGGCAAGGCCGCACGGAGACTGCAGGGTCCCTGCAGCTCACACGGCACACCCAGGGGACAGGGCTGGCTCGGCAGCCCAGACATGGCGCTCAGACGCTCCCGAGGGACTCAGCCAGAGGGAGGAGGAGGGCCTGGAGCTGGCTCTCGCCCAGCCCCTCAGTGTTCCCTGGGACAGTGACAGTCAGGCCCACTCCTTCCCACAGACCTCAAGACCCTAGTTCCTCTTCCACCAATGCACTGATTTTACTGAAAACATCTCTCACAGTTTTTAAAGTGACGACGTGGAGGTTCTGTTCTGAGGAGGCCACGTCCCCAGCCCCCAGCCACGTGCCGGTCCCAGTGTGCAGGGGCGGGGCCCGCCGGCTACCTTGGGACAGACACTCCTCTTTCCCCCGACTTCCTTCCCTCATCTGAGTGCTCAAACGTGCTTTGGAGTTTTGCTGTTTGGGTTTTTAAATACTACTTTTGTGAATATCCCCACGGAGGGATGGGGTTCAGCTCTGGGCAGGGGGCAGGCCATGGTGGCAGACCCTGTGTTGACGGCCATATCACGAGAGGCCTCTGCAGAAAAGCCAGGGTGACCGAGCAGAGGCAGCCACAGGACCTCACAGGGTCCTGGAAAGCTCTGCAGGGGTCTCCCTGGCTTCCACGGAGGCCGAGGACTGGTGTGGAGCTGCGGCTCGCGCTCTGGCCCACCTCCAATGTGACCATCTGCTGGGCCATGGCCCGCTCCACCGCCTCGTACATCTGCGTGTTCTGGATGCCCAAGCCACAGAAGATGACAAAGGCCTCCAGGAACTGTTCGTCGCTGCGGCTGAAAGGCCTGGTCTCACCCGAGCTCTCGTCCCTCTTGTTGATGAGTTGGCAGACCCCTGTGAGAATGAGAGGGAAGCTGTCAGGTACGGGCCGACGCAGCACCTGCAGGTCTGCTCTGCCGCTCTCCTGGCCAGTCTGCATCCCCCCCACCCCGCGCAGCTCGGAATGCAGGCCAGACTGTCCATGGGGGCAGCCCGCGCTGTCCTAACACACCGCTGCGATCAAGAGTCCCGGAGGACGGTTTCCCTCCAGCTCAGTGTGGAATCAGATCAGTCGAGTCCTCAAAGACAATCTGGAATTCTGGGTCACACAGACAGCCCTCCTCACCCAGACCTGGGGTTGGACTCCTCAGCACTCAGAACGGGTGAGGAAAGGAGCAGCCTCACACAGCACCCGGAGGTCCCGGGAGCACCCGGGAGAAGCAGGTTTGTAGATCCATGGGTACCACGGATAAAGGGATGCTCTACTTAGAAGGGCAGATGTGGCCACCTTGGAAGAGCTCAGGATGGTCCAAGTCCTGGCCCTCCTGAAAGCCGAGCCTGGGCCGTCGACGTCAGGACAATGTCTCCTGAGCCGACCACGGGGACCGGAGCTGGTGTCTCCAGGAGACACGGTGCTGCCGCCTGGGCTCGGGTTAGCACATCACTAGATCCTCCTGACTCTGTGTCTGAGTGTAGGATGAGACCTCCAGCTGGGAGTGGTGGTACGCGCCTGTGATCCCAGAGGCTCTGGAGGCTGAGGCAGGAGCATGGGAAGTTCAAAGCCAGCCTCAGCAATTTAGGGAGACCCTCAGCAGTTTAGAAGACCCTGTCTCTAAATAATGTATAAAAAGGCTAGGATGTAGCTCAACGGTCAGGTGCCCCTGGGTTTAATGTCTTGTACCAACCAAACCAAACAAAAAACCCAAACAAAACCCTCTACCGGTTTCCACCACAGACAGGCACCGTGGGAAGTTCTGAGGACACCCCTCTCCGGGTTTCAGACGCCTGCTTTCTCTGCACTGAAGTGCTTTTGAAGTTATCCACCACCAGC